TCTTAAAACTCAACCATGAAAATCAATGCAATTAAAAAGTGGCCAAAGACATTAACAGACACCTCACCAAAGAAGATACACAGGTGACCAATAAGTACATGAAAAGATGCCCCACATTATATGTCATCAGGGAAATGCAAATTAAAACAGTGAAATACCAGTACACATCTATTAGAATGGACAAAATACAGAACTTTGACAACATCAAATTCAGGCAAGGGGTGTGAAACAACAGGAAATCTCATTCATTCATTTTACCATTCAATGCAAATGGTACAGCCACTTTGGGAGAAAGTTTGATGGTTTACTTTTGTAAGAAAATAAATATACTCTTACACAGGACCCAGGCAATTGCACTCCTCGGTATTTACCCAAAGGAGCTAAAAACTTTTGTCTACACACAAATTTTTATAGCAGCATTATTCATAACTTCCAGAACTTGGAAGCAACCAAGATGTTCTTCAGCAGGCAAATGGATAAACTGTGGTACATACAGACAACGAAATATTATTTAACACTAAAAAGAAATGAGCCATCAAGCCATAAAAAGACATGGGGGAAACTTAAATGCATATTACTAAGTGCAAGCAGCCAATCTGAAAAGGCTACATATTGTTGGATTCCAACTATATGACATTCTGGAAGGCAACTCTGGTCACCACTATACCACCAAAGCACATATATATAATATTCTGGAAAAGACAAAACTATAAAGACAGTAAAAATATCAGTTGTTCCAGGAATTAGGGGGCAGGGGACAGGGATAAAACAGCGGAGCACTGAGAATTTTTAAAGCAGTTGAAACTACTCTGTATGATACCGTAATGATAGACACATCATTATATATTTGTCCAAATCCACAGGATGTGTAACATCAACAGTAACCCTAATGTAAACTGTGGAGTACAGGTGATAATGATGTGCCAATGTAGGTTCATCAATTCTAAAAAATGTGCCTCTCTGGTGGGGGATGTTAATAATGGGAGAGGCTATGCATATGTGAGATCAAAGAGTATAAGGGAAATCTCTGTACCTTCCACTCAATTTTGCTGTAAACCTAAAACAGCTCAAAATAAAAATAAAACATTCAATTTTTAAAATATAAATAAAGACTAAACAGCAAAAAAAAAAAATATATGTATATATATATATAGGAAATCCTTTCTTAGTTATCTATCACTGTATAACAAATAGTCCCAAAACTAATGGTCTAAAGCAAAAATAAACATTTATTATCTCACATTTTTGTGGATCAGGAAGGAGCAGCTTGGTTGAGTTGCCCTGGCTCAGGTTGCAGTTGGAATGCTGGCTGGGGCTGCAGTCATCTGAAGGCTTGCCTGGGGCTAAAGGATTCCCTTTCAATGTATCACTCACAAGGCACTGGCAGGAGACTTAAGTTTCTTGCTATGAGGACCTTGAATGCATTCATGACACTGCAACTGGCTTCTACCAGAGTGAGTGATCTGAGAGAGAACAAGACAGAAACCACAGTGACTTTTATGACTTAGAATCAGAGGTTATACATATTGCAATTTATTAGAAGCAAGTCACTGAGTCCAGCCCTCATTCAAGGGAAGGGGAAAGAAGCTCCACTTCCAGAAGGAAGGAGTGTCAGAGAATTTGTAGACATATTTTAAGCTATCATAGAGCCCATATTCACAAAAAGAAAAAATGCACACACATACCAAAACACATATAATATATTGAAAAAAGTCTTAAAGATAATTAAAGGTGCAAATACAATCATTTAAAATTCTTTCTCCTTTTTATTTTATTTTCTACTTTTTAAAAACAAACTTTTTTTATAATTAAAAAAGGAAAAGTTTACAAGTTTTACAAATTTACAGTCCTAGATACTTGTGGTCAATAGAGTGAAACATTATACTTAATCAGTAAGTCAACATGGACGGAATTGATATCTTTATTTATCCTCCTTTTCCATGAATTTGATATTTTTTTCCACTTATCTAATTTCTCTTGATTATTGTAATTTTCTCTAAAGAGCCTGTGCACATCTTTGGTTGAATTTCTTGCTGAGTATTTGATATTCTCTGACACTATTAAAAATTAATTTCTTTTTATTATAATATCTAGTTGTTGTTTTCAAAAAGTTAATATATTTGCAGGTAACTCTTGTATCTAGTCAACTCCTTAAAGTCTCTATTACTTCTAATATTTTCCCTTCTAATATTTTATTTTGATTTTTTTATATAAACAATCTTATCTGAAAATGATGGTTTTATTTATACCTTTCCAATCCTCATATCTCTAATTTCTTTTTCTTTTCCTATTGCTTAAGGCCACAGACTCCAGCATCATCTTAAAAAAAGTCATGATCATGGGTATTTTTGTTTCATTTCTTAATTAAATGAAAATACTTCCAAAATTTCCCCATTAATGAAAATATCTGCTATAATTTATTAGTTTAAGGAAGTTGTCTTCTATTTCTAATTTACAAAGAGGAATTTTTCAATTGTGACTTCAACATTATCAAACTTTTTTCTGTATCTAGTAAAATAATTACATGGTTTTCTCTTATAATCTGTTAATGTGGGAAATTACGTTTATAGATTTTTTAAGTTAAGCCATGCTTTCATACTTGAGGTATACCCAACTTTGTCATGATATTGTTAACTTTTCATACACTGTTGGAGTCAATTTTCTAATATTTTATTTGGAATTTTGAATCTATATTTTTTAGTAAAATAACGCTGGAATTTTCTTTCTTATTGCATTTGTATTAGGATTAAGATTACTAATTTTGAGTATATCAAAAGTATATATTTTGCATAATTAAAAAAATGCCACAAATAGTTTTAAAAGAAAGAAGCTGGGAGAAAATATGCGCAAAATATGTAACTGGCATAAATTGGCACCCCAAATATATAAGTAACTGTCACAAATTGATAAGAAAAATACTAACAACCAAAATCAAAAGGGCAAAGGATATAAAATGAAATTCACAAAGAGGACAACCTAAATATTGAATTACATTCATCAAATATTATAAAAAGATTCTCAACCACACTATAGATTGGGACAATACAAATTTATACAATAAGTATATACCATTTAAGAACTCATCAGAACAACTAAATTTAAAAACAAAAAACAAAAAACAAGGAAGTCCTGGTGTTGTAGACAATGCAAAAAAAACAGGAATTCCATCTCTGCTGGTGGGAGTGTTACTGATACCACCAATTTGTACAGCAATTTGGGAATATTTTGTGAAGTTTGAATATGCATGATTTATTTCCTAACAAATCTACTGCTAGAGAATCTGTCATTTAACATGCTCCAGGAGGGTGTAAGATTAGAACGTTTACAACCTCTCAGTAGGAGGATGGCTAACTGAACTGTGAGAGATAAAAATGAATAAACTCTACCTGCTTATATCTATATAATACATCTTGAAAACTGTATATTAGGTAAACAAACACTAATGCTAGTGGGAAAAATAACATGTACAATATGGAACCATCTTTTGTATATCTTGAAAACATACAAATCAATGTCATATATTATTTATGGCTACAAATGAATGAGTTAAAATATAAAGCATGGATAGAAAAGATATACACCAACTTCATGAATTAGATGACTTCAGGGTGAAGAGAAAGAAATGGGGATGGACAAAGGGGTTTCCATTGCAATATTAAATGTTTATTTTTGCGGTAGAAGAAAATGTGACAAAATGTTAACGTTTGTTGGGGCATCTGGGCGGCTCAGTCAGTTGAGCTTCTGATCTTGATTTCGGATCAGGTCATGATCTCGGGGTCCTGGGATCCAACCCCAGGAAGGGCTCTCTGCTCAACAGAGTCTGCTAAAGATTCTGTCCCTCTCCCTCCCCTTGCTCAAGCTCTCTCTCTCTCTCTCTCTCTCAAATAAATAAATAAAATCGTTTCTTACATGTTAGTATCTGTGGGGGCACCTGGGTGACTCAGACGGTTAGGCATCTGCTTTGGGCTCAGGTCATGATTCCAGGGTTCCGATGTGGCCTGGAGGGGGCTCCCTGATCAGCGGGAAGTCTGCTTCTCCCTCTCCCTCTGCCCCACTCCACCCAGCTCATGTTGTCTCTCTCTCTGAAATAAATAAAATCTTTTTAAAAAATGTTAATATTTGTTAATTTGATATAGAGCTTATTTTATACTTCTCTTTTTTTCATATTTTTAAATGTTTCATAATTTAAAAGAACTTCTTTAGTAAGTATTTGATAAGTACGGTATTATATTACCACTCTTACTGTCCTTGAAACCTTTCTCTATGTATTCTCTTTGTGATTGAATATTCCCTGGGCCAGTTTCTTCATCTGTAATATAAGAAGGGTGTATAGGTGATCATTGAAGATTCTTTCTACCTCAGATATTCTAAGTGCCTTCCCTTTCCCATCCCCCTTACACTTCCCTCCTCCCTGCTTTTAAGATTCACTACCTGAATCCATCATCAATCCGTCTCCTTGTCCACTCTTTAAGTCTGCTTTTCTGAAGTCATTAGGAAACATTTAACCAAAGCATGCTCAGTATTCAACTTTGCTAAAACTCTAGAAAAGTTTTTTGTTTGGTTGGTTGTTTTCCATTTAAAATAAAAGTCCTATATTTTCATCTAGCATCTCTGACACAGAAGTTGTGTAGGGAATGGGAGGTGGTAATAGAAACCATGCTCCATGGGCGCAGCGGTGCTACTGCGTTCTTACTTGGGCATCAGACTCCCGCCAAAGAGCACCTAACTTTTGAATGGACTAAAATGAAGGCATCGTAACTCTTTTTACAATCTGGGCAGGGCAGTGTAGGGCGGAACACACTGTGCTCTCTAACCGGAGGTGGGGTGAAAAAGGAGGGTACAGGGAGAGAGGGCTGCCCAGATCAGAAACATCCTGTAGCATCCCGCTGTAGAAGGAGGGTGCATTGGCTGGGCAAGCTCCCGTAGGAAAGCGCTCCGCGCTGCGGGGGCGGGGGGGGGGCTGAGGAGGTGGGGCCAGGGGCAACCGCGGGACCGCTCGCTCCCCTCCCCCGCCGCGCGCGGACTCCGGCTGTAGGAGGTCGCAGAGGAGGCTGGGCAGGCTTGAGTGGGCTATCGAGGCTCTCGAGCCTTCCACGTACTGAGGACTCTGTAGCAGCCATGGGCTACCAAGCACAGGGGCCCGTCATCCCGCCGCAGGTAAAGCTGGAGCGTGGGGCAGCTTCTGCAGCCAGGTCCTTTCCAGTTTCATTCACCCTGCAATAGAGAGCCGCTAACTTCACCTGGGGTCTTGGTTTAGCACCGCGGAAGTTCTCCAGGAGAAAAAGTTTTCCCTCCATCTGACTTTTTTTTTTTTCTTGACAGGCACTTTTCAGTATAACCCCTTTAATCTCACAAAATCGCATCATTGGCTCCCTAACAGATCCTGTATTCTGGGATTCCATGCAGCGGTCCTTGAACTTGGCGCAGCTGTAATTGGGACATTTTAGAATGGAATTTGTTTACAATGCTCTGTTGAATTACCTGTTATTGTTACTCTTTATTGTATATTATACTAATCATTCTTATAGTTACTGACATTACTAATTATTACTACTAATGTCGTGTTGGTGTCCTGTGTTGCATATTTGTCTGACACTTCTCTAATATTTTGACCTAGTGAATACTTAATTGCCATTTTATATATTAAAATAGAGCAATCTAGATGACAGAGAAACCCTCGTTTCTGAACACAAGCACAAAGGGAAAACTTATCGTCAGTTCACAGCTGTTTTTAATGTTGTCAACTCCATTATAGGATCTGGTATAATAGGTAAGTGTTGTTTTGTTTTGTTTTAAATTTCAAGTGAAAAGACAAAATTTAAAACTCTTACCATGTTGTTTGTATTGGTTATTTTTAAGGAAAAAATCTTAAATAATAGAATTGGTAAATTTTTCCATAAAAACCTTCCTTTTTTTCCAATGTAACTATGTGCATCAGAACAGTGTCTTTTATGCTGAAGATGGGGTCGTGATTCAGACTTTTTCCTCATTTGAGAGCATCCCCCATATGTGGTAGGCTAAGGTGGAACTGCATATGGGATATGCTGAATTTATTTTTGTAGGCTACATGGTCAATTGATAATGCTGCCTAATATACTTTTTCCCTCTTCCTGAAGGGTCCACCATTATTTAAACCACCTTTCTATGACCTTCTAAAGTGTAAATCTCCAGATATCTGGTAATATTGAAAGTACATAAGTTCAATGTGAAAACAACAATCTTGTGAAAAATTAAATCATACAGTATTTCCTTACCTATCTATCCAGTTTTAATTTTTAAGTACAAACTTATTATGATGTATTAATTTTAAGTATCATTCAATCAATAAGTAGATATTGGTTGAATGAAAATGCATAAATTTTTTTAACAAAGGAGCCAAATAATCAGAATTGAAAGAAATGAGCAGCTCATATTTTCCCAGTTTGAACCAAGGGGAAAATTCTGACAAAATAAAGTGTGTTGCATTATAGTAATTAAGGCAATTACTTTTTCAGTGCTGATTATTCTTTTTTTTTAAGATTTTATTTATTTGAGAGAGAGAGAGAGAGAGCACAAGCAGGGGGAGCAGTAGAGGGAGTGGGAGAAGCAGGCTCCCTGCTGAGCAGGGAACCTGATGGAGGCCTCCACCCCAGGCCCCCTGGATCATGACCTGAGCCACCCAGGCACCCCTAATTATTTTTTTTTTATTTGAAAACATCCAGTTTAAGAAAAAGCAAGGACAAAACAAAATCCTGCAATATGCATTGAGAATACTTTTTCCTGTAAAATTTTGACATTTTAGTTACAGTCATTGAACATTTATCTGAATTGAGTTACTTTTTTCACCTTTTGCAAGCTGATGTGTTTCTTGATGTTACTTGTTTCCATATATAGACAGTTCTTTTTAATGGCACATAAAATAGAGGTATGTGAAGCAAAGTAATCAAGTAGGGGCAAAGATTTATTTGAAACTCTACCCCCATGAACTAGGGAGGTGTGGACAGCTCTACTTGGCAGAATTCCAGAGTTAATTCCTGAAGTGAACACTTGAAGCTGATTCATGTCAGCAACATTAAAAAATAGCTCTTAATTATGTTTAGCAGATATTTTAAGGGAAAATTTTCCAGAGAATAAAAATTCTGGGTGGATATATTTTAAATATGTTTCATCTTAAATATTTTATTGCCCATAATCTAAAACTGACCATTTCCAAAAAAATTCATAAGAAATACTTTTATATACCGCTTCAGCTTTATAAAAACACTTTTGGTGTGCCGGGTGGCTCAGTCGGTTAAGCATCTGCTTTTGGCTGAGGTCATGGTCCCAGGGTACTGGGATCGAGCCCAGGGTAGGGCATCCTGCTTAGTGGGGAGTCTGCTTCTCCCTCTTCCTCTGATCCACTCCCTGCTCCTGTTCTTGCTCTCTCTCTCTCAAATGAATAAATGAATTTTTAAAAAAATACATAAATAGTAAAAAAAAATAAAAATTAATAAATAATAAAAAATATTTTGCCTTCTCATTTTTCTCTCCTGTTTACCCACTTGGATTCTGGAGTCAGTCTTTCTTCATATCCCATAATCCTTTTGTGCTCTTATTACCCTCTCTGCTTTCCCAGCTAGCATGTAAAGAAAGCTTTAGGTCATTATTTTCCATACATTCAAGGTCATATTCCCTCCTCACCCTGAAGTGAACTGACATCTGTTTTTCATTTGCTGCTTTCTTATTCTTATTTCATCATCTCATAAACTTGCTCTCTTGACGTGTCCTTAGCTTGCATTCTATTCTGAAATAGTATTAATATGCTAACATTTAATTTGAGTAGTAATATGCACTGTTTACAACCATGTCCTATAAATATGTCAACTTACTTAGCCTGTTATATATAGGAATTGGGGGAAGCTGCTGTATCTCTATATGTTTTATTAATGTGATGGGTGGGGCATTTTATATTTTTCCAGGATTGCCTTATTCAATGAAGCAAGCTGGCTTTCCTCTGGGAATATTGCTTTTATTCGGGGTTTCATATATTACAGGTAAAATACTATGTAATTGTTTTTTCCTGCAACTTAAATTGTGCAGTGATGATCACACACACACACACAATAATTGAATTTCCTAATTAAGAAGTGCATCAAATAATCCTAAAGAATTCAGACATTTATGTCTGAGAAGATTTACTTTTCCTGCTAATCCCTTGAACAGATTAGAAAAGCATTATATATTACCAAGTCTAAATCCTTTTCATGTGCCTTTTTCACTTTATGCAGAGAGTGGTAGATGGGAGTCCTTTTAAAGGCTGATTAATGCTGAGACTGCTTTGAAAGGGTAGACATCAGGCCTTCCCTTCCCACAAAAAACCTTAAGCAGGTGTACACAAATAAACAACTCTTTCTGGTTATTTTTGTGCAGGTAGAACTAAAAGGCCTGCTGCTCAACCAGCAGGGTTCACCACCCACTCCCCACCTCTCCTTGTGCCTGCCCAGGCTCCCTGCCTGCCACTATCTTTAAGTACAGCAATAAGGTGCTTCTATATCACTTCTCTTCTGCTTCCCCCTTTTCACGTAACAAGTTCATTCATACTCACGTTTTGCCATTCCTCCGAGTGCAGGCTTTACAACTCATAATCACCTCCTCTTCCTGCTGTTCTCATCCCTGCCCTGTCACCCCACCAGCTCACCTCATGACAATCACAGGGTCCTTCCTCTACCTTAGGGTCACTGTGAAAAAGGCAGTGATCACAGATACCCCCTGCAGTGGTTGTTTTTATGGTGGCCACTATATGTGGTCACTTAGATGCCCTTTTACCAGGGAACGTAAAACACCTCAGCCTTGTTTTTTCAGTATTGACCTGGCTCTCAGTGGCACCACCTTTCTGTGAGGTTATGATCCCCAGCCACCGTTTCCCCACAGCCCTCAGCCTAAGAATGACCGATAGGAACAGAAAAGCTGTGCGCGCTTGCACGCACACACACCTGCACCCCTGGCCCCGAGAGACCAATGCTTGTGGAACGTGCAGCCAGTCTCCACCGGAGACCACCTCCCTGCTGAACTGTTTCCCCTGCTCCATCCTGTCACTCCCATTCTCTTGAAGAGCACTCCCTCAAAGTCCCTTGTCCAAAAATCTCTGACCCATCTCTGCTTCCAGAGACCTGACCGAGATGCCATGCCCTCAAAAAAATCCCAGGTTTTGAAGACCAGCCTGTAACTCTGCCATTTTTTCCCCTCAGGCTGAGGAAGAGAGAGTAAAGCATGCCATAGATACCAGAGTCAGAGCTGCAGAAGCACTGGACTGCCTTCCTCCCTCCTTTCTTCTCACAGCCTGTTCTCCCCAAACCTAAGCTGCTTTGAGCTACTACAGCTCTTACTTTGTAGCTTCAGACCCATAACATAGTAAGGTGGGACCCGTAACATTATGCTTATTCAGAGTTGCTGGTGTTTAAAAACTGCACTCCATTCATGAAAACATTCATCACACTAAAAAATCCCATTCAAGGATTACCCTTGTAGTTTTTAATTTCCTGTTTCCCAGTCAGTCAGCACTAACAATTAATTTCCGCCCAGGCATAATAACCATGGCTTATTTAAGTACATTGTAAACATTTATGCACACTGTAAACCAATAGATAGAAAAAAATTAAAAAATACATATCACCTAAGAATTAAATACTTGAGGTGAATTAAATCACATTATGCACAAATAAATCATAATGTGAATAACTTTCTCAACTAATGCTATGCATAAACTTACAGCAAAGTTTGTAAGCAGCCCTTTGCAAAGTCATAGTTACTCTTGTTCAGCTGAAGATCAAAATCTTTAAATAATTTAATGAATAAAGGATGACCACACAGAAGCAAAAAAATTTATAGACTATGATTCATTTTATTTCTTAATTAGGCTTTTAAGAGGAAAATCTACAAGTAGGGTATAATGCTGAGTTTTTCTTTAAATTGACACTGTAATTACACAATGGTTTTTCTCTAGATGCTTTTGTCTTTTTAAGGCCTCTAATGAGGTATGTCCAGCTCAGCAGGTAGTTTTTCTAAGTTCTGTTTCCATGTTTGTGAAATGTTGGGAAATAAGAAAAAATTACTGATTTAAAAGAAAATTTTTATGTTGAATGACTTGGACTCATTCATGGATTTATCTAAACTTTTCATGCAATATATTTAAAGTGAGATCAAAATGTTGTGTTGATTGATATTTCAGATTCCTAAAGCTCTTAAGGTATATATTTATAGCTTGTACTTTACAAATAGAGAAACACATTTATTACTGACTAAATTCTTAGCAAATTGTTAACTTTAAGCAATGTATTTTGACCTTTTATAAAAGTCAGCATTCTCATCCCAAACATACAGTTCTTCACCAAAACTTCACAACATCTGTGAAACTGGTTACCTCCTCTCTGTGACTGAGGTCCTCATTCTTTCTCTTCGTTGGTCAGTAAGTTGCTGTTGAGTTTTCCTGCCATTAGCATCTGACCATTTCCTGATAAGTCTTCCATATTGCTGCAGAATTACCTTCATAAAACCTCAGTCTGGTCTCTTTCATGTCCCCAATCAAGACATTCCATTACTGTATAATGACAATAGAAAAAAAATTATTGCATTCAAATTCCTTCATAGCTCAACCACAATCTGAACTTTTAGTATCATCTCCAATTAATCTAACCTCTCTTTCACATAGTCACCAACATTACCATGTGTAGAAGTTATGTTTTAGCCATTCTGGACTATTCCAGTCCCTGTAGAATGTGCCTTCATGCTGCCTTCCCATGGATAGTGTCCCTACTTGACATTCTTTTTCTTCTTTACCTGGTGAAATCCTGTATCTAAGACCTACTCCTCTGTGAAGCTTTTCCCGGTTTTAAACAAAGGCAATATAATTAATTGCTATGTTCTTTGTGCTTGCAGAGTATTTTAAAATATGCTCATTAGGCCATTTATCACATTAAATTTTAATCAGATATGTAGACATCTAGCAATCCTGCTATACTGACTTATTCAACAAATATTTAGTGACATTTCTGCCATTATTTCAGTGAAGAACATTATTCCTGCCTGTTGAAGCTCACAATGTAGTGTCAGGCAGACAAAAACAGAATTATAATACTTTATGAAAAACACCATATTAAAAATATGGGCAAGATGATAGGGATATTGGCATTTAACCCAGTCTCAAAGGAGCAGGCATATTTTGGTGACAAAAAGACATCTCCACTGACTGTTTATGAGTGAGCAAAGAAAATGGAAGGGTACTCCAAGCAGATGGAAATGTAGAGATGCAAAAGGGAACTGTGTGAGTGATTCCATCTGCTTAAGCATAGGGTTGATGTTTGTAAGTGGAAAGGGAGGAAGTTAGAGGTTTGCAGAGGCATTTATGAAGGCTCCCATGTAATGATAATCATTACCACTTCCTGAGGACTGGCTTGATGCTGAGCGTAATGCAGCCACTGTACTTAATCCTTCTGGCTCTATGAAATAGGCATTCGTGTTCCATTTTATGGAGAAAGAAATTGAGACTTTAAGAAGTTAAAATGACTTGCCCAAGGTTAGCAGTTACTGACAACAGAGTTGAAACTTGGATTAAGTGCATGGATTTTAGAGCCAGACTACCAGGATCTGAGTCCCGACTCTTCCTTTCTAGCTCTGTGAAGTTCAGCGATTTGCTTAACCTTCTATGCCTCGCTTGTCTCATCTATTAAAGGGGGAGTGGAGGGTAATAATTGCACCTAGTTAGAGTTGTTGAGAAGCTTAAACAAGTCAATATGCATAAAGCACTTGAGAAAAAGCTTGGCATACAAAAAGTGTTGTGAAAGTATTTGCTAGTATTTTTGCGATTCTTCTCATTGTTATTATTATCAGACTCCAGATACAGTACTTTTTCCACCACCAGATGCATCCTATAGGAAACAGACAAAAGTAGCACAGGCTCTCATTCATTGTGCCAGGCATTGTGGTAGACATGTAAACATTAATCCTCACAGACTCATCAAGGTTTGGTGTATTGTCTTACATTATAGATGAGACTCAAGAAAGTCAAGTCTTTCACCCAGGATCACATAACTAATAAATCATTTTTTCTGCCTCATGAAAAGGATTTTTTTTATCCAAAAGTATTAGAGGATTCCCCGGGAGGATTTTAAGCAGAAGACAAGATCAGATTTATGCTGTGGTCAGATCCATCTGGTACAGGAGGGATGTCAAGAAAATCTTGGTAGGGTAGGGAATGTTAAAAGTGTTTTGAAGAGGGGCCAGATTTGTAGATGAGAGAACTATTAGGAGTTTTCGTAGTAATCCAGGTGAGAAATGATAAAACCCTAAAATAAAGTAGATTAGAGATTAGAAGTGAGGGGACACCATTGAATAATTTATGATGCAAGAGTTAATGGATTTGGTGACCAAAAGAATGTAGGAGGTGATGGGTAATGAGAAGTCTAGGGTGATGCTCAAATTTCTGCTGGTACTGTTCACAGTTTGGAGAAATATAGATGGATAAGCGGGTTCCAGAACAAATATATAAATCAGAATTTGGACACTTAAAATCAAGATGTCTATGAGATCTCCAAGATAAAATGTTTATTAGACAGCTAGATATAGAAATTTGGAGTTTTGGAGGAGTCTAGGTTGAAGATCGAATTTTAGAAGGGTTAATAACATCTGTGTGAAAATTAAAGCTGTAGGGATGAATAAGACCACAGTAGGACATTTTGAAGAGTGAGAAAAAAGTCCAAGAATCCAGATTTTAAACAGAGTAAAAGAAATTGGTGAAAAACTGTATATGATTGGTCAAAAAGGTAGGAGGAAATCCAAAAGAAAGTGATGTCACAAAGGCCAAGGGAAGGTGATTGAAGAAGAGGAGAATAGTGAACAGAAAAAAAAAAAAACTGCCATGAAATAGCAGATTAGATTAAGATTTAGGAGGTGTCCATTGGATTTATCAAATTGGAGCTCACTGATGAATTTGTTAAAAGAAGATTCAGTGATGTGGGAAGGAATCAAGGTAGAAAGCACAATGCAATGATTTCTATTTTCTTCTTTGTATTTTAATGCATTTCCAAATTATTTAAAGGATAAAAAAAATCAACTGTGATGGAAGCATGAGCGAGAGAAGAGAAAAAACAAGAATCACACAGCTGTGTACCCAGTACAACTCAAGTGTCGTTCATTAAGTGCTCAAAAAACATTGCGTTAAATGAAAAAAAAGGGGAGATTAACTTTTAATTACATAATTTCTGTATATTTGCATCTTCAATTCCAACTCTAAAATGAGAGCTTAAATCTTTAAAATGTAAATTTAAAAAAATTCTTGGAGTTCGCTCGTAACCATAACTATAAAATAAAGTTACTAGTTGTACTTTGTTATAAAACAAATGATCTGATTCTCCTCAATCTATTTTTTTTCTGAATGCTTACATCATTTTTCATTCTCGGTTTTCACACATTGAACATCTATGAAATATTTGATTACCTACATTCTGCTGCTTGGACAGTTGAGCCTCATCCTGTTAATAGTCGTTACACTAGTTAAGTTAGGAAAGTAAAACCTGATGCTTTGACTCTAGTCTGTGTACCCTCTTCTGTCCAGTTCATTGCACAGAAATGTTAAGTGTATTTGCATCTCAACTGAAAAATACATAACTGGAAACAGTACTGTTTCATGAAAGGTAATGTTTTATGAACAGAAAGTAAGCCTTGCCAAGCCAATTGACTATAGCATTAAATTAAACTCGTTAAAGTTTCTCTTTCTTTAAGTCAAAATACAAAAAGCTTTTGTATTAAATGTAATCTGACATTTGTTTAATGGCTGTTTTTGCCACAGACTTTTCCCTTGTTTTATTGATAAAAGGAGGGGCCCTCTCTGGAACAGACACTTACCAGTCTTTGGTCAATAAAACCTTTGGCTTTCCGGGGTATCTCCTCCTCTCTGTTCTTCAGTTTTTTTATCCTTTTATAGGTAAGTTGAATGTGAAAATGAAAAGCGTAACTCTTTCCTAAACATACAACTATTTCTGAAGAAGATAGTTTTAATAGGAGATTAAAAGTGAATAGGTAAAATAATAGATTTCTTCCGCGGCTGAAATATGTTTTTTTGAAAACCTAAGGGTTTATGGAAGCCACGTACAAGGCCAACATGTAATTTAAAATCTGTACCATAATGGTGAACATGTCCTCTAGCACTTCTTAGGTAAATTGTTAACATTCACCAATGACTAAATTGACATCATTTTTTAAATCAGTAATACAGAATCTATTGGTCAAACCATTAGCTCCTTTTTAAAATTAGGGGATATTTGGGAGCCTTCACAATTTTCTATTATTGTTCCTCACTTTGAGCAATGCATGTATTCCTGAAAACATATGTGGAAACTGAACTTTTGTAACAAAACAAATCACATTTTAAATGACTACGGAAACTCACCATTATTTAAAGTTGTTCTGGAAAGAATCAATTCGTGAAGTGAAAATGTTTTTGTAATATAAATTGATATTCTCCCATATATTTGTTGTCTAGTTATTTTTTGAAATTATACATATTTGTAGTCACAATATATATTTGAAAGAATTAGGATTATGCCAATATTTGGGAATAATGGATTACTTTCAAAATAGTTAACGGGTATTAAGGAGGGCACTTGTGATGGGCACCAGGTGTTGTATGTAAGTGATGAATCACTAAATTCTACACCTGAAACTAATATTACGCTGTATGTTAACTAACTGGAATTTAAATAAAAACTTGGGGGAAAAATAAAGTGTATTTAGCAAAAAAAAAAATCAAAATATTCAAGATGAAATATGTGATGGCTTCTTGGTAACTGTATTGTTTTAATTATGTTTTTAGCTATGATAAGTTATAACATAATAACTGGAGATACTTTGAGCAAAGTTTTCCAAAGAATCCCAGGAGGTGAGTCAATGTATATATTTTATGTATTATTCATAGTTAATGCTGTTCATACTAATTTACAAGCAAAATATTTGCAAGTGGAAGAGTTGGATGACTTCAAGTATCTGGCAATATCCATGATCCATTCTGATCCTAAAGCATTAATCTACTTTTATATATAGTTTAGTTCCTCCTTAGCTGTTTAGAGGATATCATTACTATTCATATACTTAAAATACTTTGTATTTTAAATACCTAATTTTACATATCACCAACTCTATGTAGTAACATTTTTCACGTCTTCTTTTTACAATGCCATTTCTAAAATAAGCAAGCTGACTTTTTTCTCCATTATTTGTATTAAGATATAATTTAATATAGTAAAATTAGCCCTTTTTACTGTTTAGGTCTGTAACATATAGTTAGACAAATGCATATATAGTCATATATCCACAACTACAATCAAAATACAGAACAATTCCATCACCCACCCTCCAAAATTTTCCTTATTTCCCTGTGTAGTCAAACCCTCCCTAATCTACAGCTCCTGGCAGCCACTGATCTGATTTCTCTCCCTAGTTTTGCTTTTCCCAGAATGACAAATAAATGGCATCATATAGCATGGAGCCTTTCAAGTCTGGCATCCTTCCTTTGGTATAGTGCATTTGAGATTCATCCAAGTTTTGGGTTGTATCAGTAGTTTGCTCTTTTTTTTTTTTAGCTGCTGAGGAGTATTCCATCATAAGAATGTACAACAGTTTATCTATCTCCCAGTGGAGGGACATTTGGGTTGTTTCATTTGGCATGATTCTGAAAAACCATTATGAACACTTCAGGCAGACCTTTTCAACATGTGCCACAACCCCATGCCCTATTCAGCCTTTCACCATATCATGGCAATTTGAATAACTCAGACATCATGAGTCTTTTTTTTTGAAGAGCTTCTCACCCAAGCCACACAATCCTCATTTCATAGTGACCTACTCGATAGTTGTTATCATAGTTGAAAGTGATGCAAAAACACCTTTCCTCTTAGTGCTGAATCACTCCTTCTAGAGACATACAAACCAAAATAAAACAAAACCTAAAACTAGAAATTGCACCTATTCCTTTCACAGAGTTTAGTGGAAAAGGAAATCAGGGAGACTTGACCATCAAATCACAGACCCGCTGCTTGCTCTATGTGATCTTGAGAAGGTTAATGCCCTCTCTGAGTTTTAGTTTCTTCATCTTTAAATTGTGGAGTATAACCTGCTTCATAGAATTATTGTGGGAAACAGCAGAGGTAATACAGACAGTGCTTGGCATATAGTAGGCTCTCCCAACACTGTTAGCTCTTAGCAGCAGCTTCCGTTCTAGCCCCCAACTACAAACCATGTTTTCATAAACTGAGATCACGTGAGTGGATAGAATACTAAGGAAAAATGCAAAGAATATAATGTCATATATAAAATATGACCTAATCATGTAAATTTTCTATTTTCATAAACAACTAAGAAAAAACAAGGAAAAATATATTCACATGTAAACTGTGATTATCTTTTAATTGCAGGAGTCATGAGATTTTTTTCTGTTTCCTTTGTTGTTTTGGTTTTTCAAAGGAGCATATATTAATTTAGAAAAATCTTTTTATAACTTTATTTTCATTTAAAATACTTATTAAGGTGTATTTTTTTTGTTAGAAGATCAGGATAAATAATAGATCTCATCATTAGATCCTTATTTAAAAATGTCCCTTATGGTAATAGAGACCCTTTGTTAGTAGGCTCCTCTCTGCTATTCATAGCATTTTATTTCAGTGTTTTTCTAGGACTTAGAATTTTCCCAGTGAAGGAAATCTATATTTTCTACCAAACACATTGGTAAAGCAAATGATTTGAAAGGGTAAACAGAAACAAATATACAAATAATTTAATTCAAATTATGCTCACCAGAAATATGTAAATAGTTGAGTTCAAGTTTTTGGGAACTTGAACTTCCTGTTTTAGCGTTTTGATTCACAACTTTGTGATGATTGTTTAGTTATATCTGAGTTAAGCAAATATTCATGATTATTTTATTACAGTGTATACATACGCATGTCACATTTATACCACGTTGAAATTGTATCTGGAAACTTCCCTGTGAGTTTATTAACCATACAAGAAAATTAGTCTCACTTACTTTTCCCAGTAATAGCTTTCTTTTTCTTTTATCTTTTTTTTTTTTTTTAAACCACACTCACTTGCTTATTCTAGAGACTTTAGACTTTGCAGAAATTAATGAACAAAGACTTGGTGCCACTGGGGACATTTCAAAAACATAATGATATGATCTCTGAAGGAATTCAATATGAGCTAAAAAATGTAAGCAGTGGTATCTTCCTTGGAATAGATATATAGCTCCCGAAGTTAACGCTGTGATTAGCACAGCCTTAAAAATATATAAATCCTTGGAAGTATGTCTTATTTTATGTTTACAGCTTTTGTTTGTATTTGATGATAGGCACACTTGCACACACAACCCGCCCCCCAACACACACACAATTACGTACTCACTGTGATAGCGGAGACTCTGCAGCATATACCAGTTTCAGCAGTGCTTCCCGATGGTGTCCCTATATTGCTTCTGTCTCCTTTTCTTCAGGGAAACCACTTCTTTCTCAACAAAAGTATAGAAATAGAATATTTTTATCTAAAGCTTGAGTCTTGAAATTTCAAGCTCTACTGTTTAAGTCTCTCTAGGTTACAGAATTTAAAAAAGAAGAAAAAAAGCCTCAGCACATGCCCCCTCCTCATGTAGCTTACTTCCTAGAGAAGGGATTTGCCATTAGAGGGTTTTGGACAAAGAGTGACATTGTGTTTTTAGCCTTGGGGAAGGATCTCTGTACCTTCCAGATTACAAGTATATTCTAAGGGGGATAAAGGAAGAGTAGAAGCAGGAAAATTGATTAGGAGGCTACTAAATAATTTGAACGCAAAATATTATAAGATTATTTGAACTATAGGTTCATCCTTAAGTTTTTTGTATTTACATTTTTGTGACATTTCTATTTTTACATGGTTTTGTGGGATGTATTTACTTAAAATCTTTGTCATTTTGATAACATTTAAAGTTATTTAAGTCATTTTTGCACTTAAATATTTGACTGCTTACTTGTATCACTGGTGTGTTAACTCATACCTATAAAGACTTTATAATATTTGTTGTGTTTTAGTTGACCCTGAAAACTTGCTTATTGGTCGCCACTTCATCATTATGCTCTCCACAGCTGCCTTTACTCTGCCTTTGTCCTTGTATCGAGATATAGCGAAGCTTGGAAAGGTAACTTACATCTAAGGCTCAGAAATGCACTTTGTTACCTGCACTAATTTTGTCAAATGACTGTCTGTGTAACCAAGTTCTTAATTACAGTATTTATCTTAGTTTCTTTCTTACCTTTCTTTCTAAGGTAGATACGCTGATGTCAGACACCATACTTCCAATTTAGAAAATAAAAACAACTATACTTACACCAGGTCTAATTCACTGAAAAAAATGTTCTATCATTTTTTACAGATAGTAGTTTAAATAATTTAAATTTAGACTAAATTTAAGAAGTAAGGATGAATCACTTCACTGGCTCAAAATTTTTTTGTAAACTACAGTGTGTTTCATCCAGTGACTTTAAATATCAATGTGTCATTAATTCATGAGAATTTGACCAGTGTATATGATTCTTATTGCTAAAGAGAAATGATGATGCATTTCTAATGAAACCAACCAAATAATTATTCAACTCACCATATGGGCTCATCTGCATAGGTTAGCCTTTATCTACCTGTATTTTTACTTCCTTACTCTCAACGAGTGTTGGAGTGTTTGTATTTTATGCAAAATATTATTGGCATTAAATTTACATTATGCCAAACATTCTGATGAATTTTTTTAAAAAGTTTTTAAAAAGAGCTATTTATATATTTTTATGTTCTAATTTGAAAAGTCCAACAGTTGAGTGAATTTTACTTTTCACTGTGACGTCTCATGTGTATTCACAGTTATGGATCCTTCCTTAAGGATCTTATTATGGATCCTATTACCCACAGTCCTTCCAGGTAAAGCTGAGAGTGGAGATGGTATTCCAAATATTCTGACCACTCTACCTTTGTTCCCTAACAGACTTGGGTGTGTTATGGGATCCTATTATGGATCCTATTGCCCACAGTCCTTCCAGGTAAAGCTGAGAGTGGAGATGGTATTCCAAATATTCTGACCACTCTACCTTTGTTCCCTAACAGACTTCCAGAAATAAATAAGAGTCCATTAAAGCGGCTTTTTTGTGAATTATCTGAAATGCTGAACAATTTCCCATTTCCCATGTTGTAGACATAAATGTTATCTTCAGAGAGCAGAAGGCCAGGCATTCATGAAAAGAAAGCTAATATTCTATCATATTATTAATACCTGAACATCTTCCCCTAAGTGTCTCTTAAAAGTGTCATATTGGAATATTAAGTAAATCTCCCGGTGAGCAAACCCAGAGTAGCTAGGAGCCCTGATCTGGAGTCAGGGTGCTTGCATTTGAATTCTCCTTCTGCCACATTCTAGCTGTGTGACCTTGGGAATGTTACTTAAAATCTCTTCCTCAGTAGAGGACTCATAACAGACCCTTCTTTCTAGTTAAAAACTAACAACCCAGGAAACAAGGTTAATGGTTTCTTTGGTTAACCCAAAGAAACAGAAACTATTTTACATTATGTTTTTTCATATTAGAGAAAGAAATCTAAAATGTGCTTATCCATTAAAAAAAAATTAAGGGCAGAAACAGATCTAATAATGAGTGCACAGAACACTCTATACACACAGACCAGTTTATATTTTAACCAGTTGAAATAGTGACAGAATAGAAAGGAAAAAGCAAAGACTTTAGAAACACAGACCAAAGGGCAAAATCAAACAGGAAAAATAGACTAACAGAGCTAGAGAACAGAAAGAAAAAAGGAGAGGCACCCCAAAAATGTGTGTGAGTGAGTGTGTGTGGGGGGGGGCCCTGTCTTGATAGGTAGAGGGTAAGGTAAAGACAGAAGCAGAAGAAGCAGTTATAGATAGAAAAAAGCACAAGTCATCACCAAAATAGACCTGAAGAAGAAAGAAAAAAACTTCCCTTTGACTTTTATAACCTAAAATCACCAATTTTGTATTCTATTCAGTAAGCCACTAAAAACCTTTAAAGCTATGTCGCAAGATTAGTTATACATACCTGCCTCCCTATTTGGGGAAAAAAAATAATACTGTGGACTGATAAAAAGTTACATGTCTGAGATTATCAACAGTAGTCTGTAAGAAAAAACTACTGCAGGATTATATAAACAAAAGCTGTATATATGTTTACTCAAGTAAAAAGAGAAACACCTAATATTTTCAATTCAATAATCTCTCTTCCAAACTGACCATATCTTTACATTTTCTTTTGCAGATCTCTTTTCTTTCGACAGTTTTAACAGCTCTGATTCTTGGAATTGTAATGACCAGGGTAGTCTCATTGGGTCCATACATGTAAGTTTTGTTGCTATATTGGTTAGTCTTTAATTTATAGCCTTCACATAGATATTTATATGACATATTGCAAATGCTGAAGTATAAAGTAATCATGGTACCAGAAGCACCATTTATCTTAAGTATTTGACAAAATGAGAGAAGATAATTACATCTAAGTGGACAGGCATTTTTCACTTGGCCCCTCCATGGCTGATGAGATTAAACTGAGTTTACTTTGCATGTTAATGACTGGTCCTAAGAATTAGAATAAGGAAGAGATCTCGAATAGTGAGAAATAGGAATGAAGTAGGGCACTCGGGAGGGAAAATGGTAAATGGCAGAAATTTTTGTATCTATCCCAGAGATGGATTTGTTCTTAACAAAGTTTCACCAATATAGGCTGAAATGAGAAGAATAAAGAATATAATGGAAGTTTTCTCCATTAGAGGAAATGTAATCACTTTGCAAACCACCGTTTATTCTCTACTAAGATTATATTCTTTGATTATTTGGTGTTAAAATTTTGTCATTTGTGAACTGATGGTGATAGTTTGTGAATGTTACCTGTGAGGGGGGAAAGAAAAGGAAACCTGTTGAGTAACTATCTGTGATAATGTGGTTCCCAAGGTAACTTCTTTTTCCTATTGATTAACTGTCCTGCAAGATCACATCATTTTCAACTTCATATGCTTATGTCTGGCTTCTTAGTCTACCAGGAAAGTTCCAAAAATTATGCCTCAAACTTATTTTGAAGGAATTATGAAACATCTAGTCTAATTGCATTTAATACAACCTTTACTTTGAAAAAAACACTTTTTTTTAAAGGATTGAAATAAAAGAGAAAAGCATAAATATCTATCATGTTTATATTAATGTTTTCAAATAACTGAATCCCAGTTCATGGTTGTATTAGCTCGGGCTGTCAGAACAAAATACATATAGAGGTCTTAAACAACAGAAATTTATTTTCTCATAGTTCTGGAGGCTGCCAGCAGTCAGGTTTTGGTGAGAGGTCTCTTCCTAGTTGTAGAAAGTTCCCTTGCTGCTGTGTCTTCACAGGGCAGACATCGAGAGAAAGAGCAAGCTCTCTGGTATCTCTACTTATACGGACACTAATCCCATCAAGCATGCCCTGTCCTCAAGACCTCCTGTAAACCTAATTATCTCCCAAAGTCTCCATCTCCAGATACCATCACAAAGGGGCTCTGGCTTCAATATACGAATTTTTGGAGGGGACACAATTCAATCCTTAGCAAGTTTTAAAAACGCATCCAGTTCCCTTCACTGTGGCCATTTATTCTCTCATTTAGTGAACGCTTACTGAATGCCTGTTGTTTCTAGCTATTTTGCTGCACCCTGAGAGAAAAAGAGCAGAGAGGCAAAAGTCAGCACCTGTTGCAAGTTGTTCACAATCAAGTAGTGAACATTTTAAAAACAAAAAAGAAGAAAAAGAAAGCAGTGCAGTAGAAGTGCAAAATAGAAGGATTAGAGCAATAGCAGTGCCAAAGAAGAGAGTGCTTAATGGGAAAAAAAATACGATCTGGGTGTTTTGAAAGATGAATCTGAATTGTTTCAGATAGAGAAAAGCGTAAAAGGCATTCCCGGCCCAGGAAAGGTAAGCATAAAAGCACAAAAGCATATGTTAAATTCTACTGACATTTATTTAGTATCTACTGTATTGGTACTGTATTCATCTCTGATTTTCAAGAGCTGAATTTATACAACAAGAAGCCAATAAATATATTGAACAGAATACAATAAATACAAAATACAAAATACAATAAATAAAGGCAGAATTTTTTTTTAAAGATTTTATGTATTTGTTTGACAGAGAGAGACAGCGAGAGAGGGAACACAAGCAGGCGGAGTGGGAGAGGGAGAAGCAGGCTCCCCGCGGAGCAGGGAGCCCGATGCGGGGCTCAATCCCAGGACCCTGGGATCATGACCTAAACCGAAGGCAGACGCTTAACCAACTGAGCCACCGAGGCGCCCCAGGACAGAACTTTTTTTATTGGAGCTTTTATTATGAAAAGTGACTCTAGACAATAAATTATTAGGTTATAATAAAAGGTCTTATCGATTTGGCAAATATAGTACTATGAGGCAATATTGAGGGAAAAAACCCAAGTAGCTAAAAGTTGGAGATAAATAATAATTAACTGAGCCCCAAGGGGTTAGTTTAAAACAATGATTTTCAACTTTAGCATCATATTAGAATTGCCTGAGTAGCTTTAAAAAATACTGATGCCAGGGCCCACTTCGAGAGATTCTGAGGGATTTGGTCTAGGAACCAATTCATAATTGAACAGCTGTGAGTTTTCGAGCAAGCACCTAGAACCTCTAGGTTTCAAGAGATTAAAATCATGAGTATACATTTGAACTGACATATCATTTCTAAAAATAGACCATAGATTTTGTGTTATTTTAAGCACCCTTGTGCCATTATTTTTCATGATTCATTCCCCACTTATTGTTTTGGTACCTTTTTTTATACAACCTGTGTGTGAGATACTATTGTGAATACAAGGAGAAAATATCTCTGCTCTCAAGGGGCTCACCATTTAGTGGGGAAGCTAAGGTTGCACAAATGACTGTCATATAGGCAAGTGTATCTTGATACAAAGGAAAGAGAAAGGAGCGGCCACTTCCTGGTGGTGCTAAATGAATTGATTTTATGGCCAAAGAGCTATTAATTTCTGTTGTAAACAAAGTGTGGTCTGTATCTTTCTAACCTTCCTCGAGCGGTGATATCAGACTTCATCTGAGCCTTTGAAATTTTTCTAATAACAGGGATTATTTACTTAACTCTTTCAATATTTAGATGTTAAAGAAGTGTGGTTTTTTTGGGGGGTGGTTTTTGGGTTTTTTTTTTTTTTTAATGCTGGGCTGCCTTTTATTTCTGTTTGAATACTATGGCAAACAACTTCTGTTTGTCCAGATTTACAATCAGGCTAATCAAAGCCCATGTTCAAGGCTTGGCATAATAGCTAGTCAGGCAGGCTTCTTTCTGAAATATGACAGCCACGAATGCTTATAATCCATAAAACATGAGAAATTCAATACTCCATGTGTGTTTTTCCTCATTTTTGGTTCAGAGGAATAATCAGAAAAGCTGTACTTTTTCAAAGGGCTTTTAAAATGGTATTTGGAAAAGATCTTTAAACCTGCTCTCAGAAAAGAGGAAGGTCTGTAATGGCTACTGGTGTTGACCTTGTTACTATGGAAACATCTTTTTAGTAGTTGTGTTTTAAAAATAAAACACACAATTCAATTTCCTTTTCTCATAACTCATAAGGCTGTAAATTCTGCTTTTTTGATATGATTTCAAATATCTTATAGTCCAAAGACTTTCCGTTCTCTTTGGAAATAATGTTCATTTTTATTGTATTTTCTAACCTTTTGCTTTCTTAAAAACTGAGGTGGCAAGGCAATTTAATTGCTTTCTAAAAAGTGTGCTAGTATCAAAATGCAATGACAGTTCTTCCTTTTTTTTCAAACTACAATTAGGGGCATTATCACTGTGAAAACCTTCATTCTGTGCCTCATTAATATTCCATTCTTTACATTCAGAATGGAAATGATAGCATGCAATCCAAATTTACAGTTATTTTCTCTTCTTCTAACATCTCTCTTACAGCATTTTAATCCTTAATGCGGTATTCCAAACATAATTCCAAAAAGTGTGTCCATAGTTTCAGCAGGCATTTATGAACAGAAAATGTGCCATCTCCAAGGATCTCAAGACATATTAGTTTCTTTACCTCTTATCTATTCTAGCCCTGAAATTCTATAGTTTGATGCTATACATAAAGAGGATCTAGAGGGGATTAAAGAAAGGCTCAGGAAAAAACAGGTAAAGACAGAGGAATAGTGCATATTTGAAAAAGGGACTGATTAGTTCTGTCAAACACTAGCCATTGACTTTTTAATGATTAAATTATTGCCTTTTTTGTTACAAAACACAGCAACCATAGAACCCTAACTGCTTAAAGCAAAAGAAAATTTATTATCTCACATAACTTTAAAGTTCATGGGCATTCCTGTCATTAGATTTGGTTGGGTTTAGGAGTTTAATCAATGAAATCAGACATGGTTTCTCTTTTTTCACTTCTTGGCTTTGCTTCCTGTTTTGGCTCTAGTTTCTGAAAGGCTCTCCCCTCGTTGTGAGGAGATGACAGTAGCAGAACCAGCCTACATCCATCCATTCAGGTCCAAATCTATAAAAAGAGAATGAGCTTTCTCTTTTAGATTACCTCCAACCTTACTTGGACTGATTAGCTCCAATGAGGACCCATTATGATCCCAAACCCTAACATCATGGCCTCTGTTGACTTGCGTGTGTTTATGTTACACGCCTACTCTTGATGCTAAGGATATGGTCAGCCCCACTCACTAAATCGCATGGACAGAGAGTAGAGGAAAAGGCGATCCCAAACAAAGTCAAGGCAATGATGCCAGAAGAGGGAGTAGCCACCTGCATAGTACAAGCTATAGATGTCCACTTCAGCTGACAGGAGGTTACTGGTAACCTTTAGGAGTATCAATCAAATGATATGGATGGACACCAGGTTAGAGAGAATTAAGATGCAACTGAATGATAGGGAAGTGAATTTGGCAAATAACTACCTCCTTTTGTTTTTTAAGAGCATCAAGGAATGAAAATAACATGACAAAATAGTGGCTTGAGACAGTAAGATCTCCAATAAATACTTTTTTTTTTTTTTTTTTTTTTTACCATGGGAGATATTGAGCATGTTATAGGTCAAGCCAAAAGATGGAACCCAAGTCCCCCAGGAGATCTTGAAAAGTTGGAATTTATAATATAGAGCAATCCTTAAAGAGGAACTGGGATGCTTCTTCTTCCTCTTGGCACAATAAGATCAAATATAGAGAGTAAAATATGATTACATTCTGAAGACCAGTGAAGGGCATTTGAATGTTCATGCCCAGTAGGCTCTGTTTTTTCAGAGATGAGATTTTTATTTGAGAGTGTGGTAGACAAAGGTATGTTCAGAAGC